AATAAATTTGTTTTCCTTTTATTCATTATTTTGGATTGATATAGAGGACTGTATGAAACCTAGGTATAGTTTGAAGAATAATTTTTATTGTTGTTTTTGTTTTTTTTTTTTTTTTTTTCTGCATTTTTTGAGGTTTGTCCCAGTGTAGCCCAGGTTTACTTTGCATTTGAGATGATCTTGGCTCAGCCTCCCAAGTACTAGGATTACAGGTATGTGCCACCATGTCTGGCAGAAGTTTTAAAGCTAATATCTTTATAACCATTATCCAGGTCAAGAAAAGAATGGTTATCATTCTAGAAATTCTTTTTTGTCTTTCCCCAGTTATAGCTTCTTGAACCAGTGTTCATGTTCATGTGATGCTTCCTAATTAAAAATTATTGCCCTAGACAACTACTGCCTTCATCAGGATTGAGCCCTTTGGTTATTTTATCAGAAGAGAGGTTCAAAAGCATTGTATCATTATATTTGGGAAGATACTGAACTTGGAATCAGAGTGCATAGTTAGATTATGTTAATGACTAATGTTGTTAGTGACACATTAATGTATCTGTTTTCATTTTAAGATCTTGTGACTTTATACTAATGTCAGTGAGCTGGGGCATTTTCTTTCCATGTACCAAAATTAGAGTTCTAAATTGGCTTTTCTTTATAACTAGCATACCATAACATATTCTTTCATGTTATTTACTGCAGTTTAGCTTTGTCTCCGATGTTTTAGTGTGATTATCCTTATAGTTTTTGATGTAAATCTTGGAGGGTAATTTTAATTTTTTTGAGTGCATTGAGGGATATTACACTGTTAGTCTTCCCATCTTCTGTACAGAGTTTCAGTGTGGGAATAGTATTTTAGGGCTAAGTTGGAAAATATGAGAGGTGGCTTTCTGTCCTATATCTTTAGATGTTTTCCTTTATTTATTGTTTTCTTTTTTTGAACTGTACTAAACTCAAGAAGTTGATTTTTTTCATCCTGGAGCCTTCTTCCCCAAACTTATCCCTGAGTTTTCAATTGTAGTGTGAATCTATATTTGACCTGCTGTTCAAATCTCAGCTTTCTTAGAATAATGTGAACAACAAGCAGTCCACTGTTTTAGGCCCAACCCTGGCTATTGCTACTTTAGATGTACTTTTTTTTTTTTTGCGGAACCGGGGATTGAACTCAGGCCCTTGCACTTGCCAGGGAAGCACTTATTCTGCTTAGCCATCTCCCCAGCCCTTGCTACTTTAGATGTTACCCACTTGATTGTACTTGGCAGGGGTAAGCATGGAAGATTTGGTCTATTAGTACCTCTTAACTAAATGTGTACCTGAAAGCTTAGGTTGTTTTATTTTGTTTTTTATTTTATTCCTCCTGCCACCTAGTGGTTGAAATGTTGTGTTATTGATAAACCACCACTAATTTTGGTAGTATAGTTGGGGCAAAGTATTTAAAGGACTGTATAGTCTCCTTTTCCCTTGCTTCTCTGATAAAGATGATCTATAAAACCTGTCGCTTAGATGATTATCATTCTTTGTATTATAAATTTTTTTTAAAAAAAAATAGCATTCTTTAACTAGTGATTTATATTGTTCCTGTCCAAACTCTTCATGTAATTGCTTCTTTTTAGGGCTGGGGAGATAGCTCAGCAGTATAAGTGCTTGCCTGGCAAGCTCAAGGTCCCAAGTTTGATCCCTAGTACCACATGCCATAGTGGCCCTGAAACTGGGCATGGTGGCTCATACCTGTAATCTCAGCGCTGGAGAGGCTGATAGAGGATGATCACTATGAGTACAAACTGCATAGCAAGATCCTATATCAAAAACAGCAACAAAAGAAATTACTTTCAGCTTATTTTTGAGATACACAGACCATTAGGGAGATTGCTCTGTCCTTTCTTCACTGAATTAAATTCTGTAGGAAAATCACTGCTAATTAATTGTGAAGTACTATTTTTTTAAAAAAAGCAGAATTTATTA